TGAAGGATGAGCCGAACAGGTAACCAAGGAAGTGGTACTCCACGTAGAACAGCACCAGACGACCTGTTCCCAAACGGGTTGATGAGCCACAGGACGAGGCAGCCACCAGGGCGGCGAAGAAGGAACGCACACACGTCTTGCAGAGGGAGTTAGACTTCACCTGGGAAGGCGTTTCATTGATTCATTATTCGTCTTTAACACGAGCATTGGGATTTTAACGCTTGAAAGCAAAAGCTTAAAGGTCCCTATTTATACTGTTTTCTCATTACTTTATATAGGGCTCCAAACACATCATGCATTGCAGCATCCCATAATCCCCTCTGTTTCAGCCCTGTTTCAAAAGCTGCTGATTCTCTGTCTGTTACTCTTAGATGAAAATAAGGAGCCCCCTCCCCCAACGCCCTCGAGAGATATTTGGTTAAAAAGAACACAATGGTGCTCTAGGAGGAGATTCAGTGATAAGGTGGGGGGGTACGCTTGGTTGCTGATTTGCTAATGGTTAAACAAGCCAAACAATCCGTTATGACATCATAAAAGTTTGCCAAAAAATCTGATCAGCCCTCATTTTTCCAGACAGCGTTTTTATATAAATGGATCAGCGACAAAAAGAGAGGGGCATTTTTCCGAACTTCAGAATCTCTTACACAGAGCGGGACACATGTTGATTGTAGAAAAACATGAAGAACGAGGGGACCAGCATGTTTAATTGTACTAAAAAAAAAGAAAATACATGAAAAGTGGATTTTGCATAATAGGTGACCTTTCAACAGGCGCTCCTGTGTGTTTTACACTCCTCCAAGCTGAAGAGCACTCCTCCAACGGGGCTCGCAAAAGCACAGACACCCCGGCCGCCGACGCAGCAGAGAGAACCTGGGAAACAAAACAAACGCACCTCAGCTGATTGAAAAACACATAAGTCATATTATTCATGATAACAGAACCCAAGTCTGGCTTAATGCTTCTTGGTAAACATCAAGCCGTCTTTGGCTCTTTTCTGCTGCTGTAACAATGTAAATGTCCCCTTCTGGTGGACTAATGAAAGTTATTCTGATACTTAAAGGCATCAAAGCATGACTGAAACATAACTAAAACACACGAGTTAAATGTCTTGTCCCTCAACCTCTCGTTTCTTTGCCCTCGTTCTTGCTGTAACTTGGGGAAGAGGTAGGAGAAGATGTTCCCGCAGCAGCAGGCCACGTGCACCAGCGGTCCTTCCCCAGGCTGAGCCCCGACGCCAGCCAGCACCAGAGTGACGGTCTTTATCAACAGGGTCCACTTTCCCAGGTAGCCCCGATAATAAACCCACTGAGGAATATCTTTATCTGGGGAGAGAGAGTTTATGGATTTTTTCCATAATATATTTCTCCCATGAAAAGCTTTGTGACATGAAGGCCTGTGTTAACCTCCTATAGATGTGACTGTAATGAACAAGTACACTTGGATCAATACAGAACATTAAGAGAAGGAAATAAGCAATTCATTACCTATCAATCAATCAATCAAGAATGACTTTTTTTTTGCTTAGGCTGCTTCTCTACCTCCCAATCGTTTCCTTTATTCTCCTTTTGTCACCATCTTTTAAGTCATTTTTCACTACACACAATTGGTATATATAATTATAAACATAATATATATTGGGCTATACAATGCAGTTCCAGCTTTCTTGTTCTCATGGCAACAAACAAATTAAATGTTGAAAGCTCAGAGGGGGCTCACGTGAACATAGCTTTTTTCACAGTGCGGTCAAACCTCCCTGCTCCCCACTGAATTAACAATTTGACGCCACTTCAAAACATAAAAGGGAACGCATACGAATGAAAACATTACATTACATTGCGTTTAGCCGAGTAAGAGGCCGTTCACAAGGCTTTCTATTTAATGTGCCACTTACAGTTTCTTAATCCTGATGCAAATTGATCAGACGTGAGAAAATGAGAGCCGAGGGATAAAACGGAACGTCGATAATCTGCAGAAATCCTACAAAAGCATAATCACTCGCTCTGAAACAGAGAGAGGAACGACAAAAAGAGACAGCTGCTGACCTCATTAGCTGGATACAACTTCAGGCTATGAGCTTACATCTTTTACAAATTGAATAACTGTCAAAAATCTCTTGGATGTTGGAGTTTCCTTTGAGAACTTCAATGCAGCACCCAGAGGTTTCAAAACTATCCCTGCCTGCATGCAGCCGGTTCTCCTCACCTCAGGTAAAGTGTTTCGTACGTAAGAGATATTCTCCTCACCTCAGGTAAAGTGTTTCGTAAGAGATATTCTCCTCACCTCAGGTAAAGTGTTTCGTACAGTAAGAGATATTCTCCTCACCTCAGGTAAAGTGTTTCGTACAGTAAGAGATATTCTCCTCACCTCAGGTAAAGTGTTTCGTCTAAGAGATATTCTCCTCACCTCAGGTAAAGTGTTTCGTACAGTAAGAGATATTCTCCTCACCTCAGGTAAAGAGTTTCGTAAGAGATATTCTCCTCACCTCAGGTAAAGTGTTTCGTAAGAGATATTCTCCTCACCTCGGGTAAAGAGTTTCGTAAGAGATATTCTCCTCACCTCAGGTAAAGTGTTTCGTACAGTAAGAGATATTCTCCTCACCTCAGGTAAGGTGTTTCGTACAGTAAGAGATATTCTCCTCACCTCAGGTAAAGTGTTTCGTAAGAGATATTCTCCTCACCTCAGGTAAAGTGTTTCGTGAGAGATATTCTCCTCACCTCGGGTAAAGAGTTTCGTGAGAGATATTCTCCTCACCTCGGGTAAAGAGTTTCGTGAGAGATATTCTCCTCACCTCAGGTAAAGTGTTTCGTACAGTAAGAGATATTCTCCTCACCTCAGGTAAAGAGTTTCGTAAGAGATATTCTCCTCACCTCAGGGATCCCCGAGCCGCAGGCGTAGGGAGCGAACACTTTGACCAGACAGACGGCCAGGGTGGCGAAGGACAGCGCCCAGTAAGTGTACATGAAGTAGTTCATGATGTACGAGCCGGGCCCCTGCAGAGGAAGGAAGAGAGACCGTGAGAATCTTAGGAGGATCACGCACATAATGTGTGGACGTGACTGAGAGCACGTCTGAAACAAGGCATGTGTTTGTGTGTCTGCATAGAATTATCTTTGTACACTGTTTTACATTTTGCTCACTCATTATTTTTGATGCTTGTTTTTTAACATGGGAGTTTATTGCAATTAACTCACAATCAATACTTCCTGCATTACTTTGGTAGCCTACCAGCAAAGGGAAGGATGCTGCCCACAAAATTCATTTCCTGAAGCCTCATGAAGAACATGTTTTTTTCCACTACAAAGATTTGATGAATGATATCATACCAGCCCTCTGTGGATGTGGTGTCTGGATCAAGTCATTTCTTTGTAATTACTTTTTTAGCAGCTACACTCAATCGTCCCAAAAATCATTTGTTTAATATTTATGGATGTGTATGTGGAAGCCCAAAAAGGAGTTCATTCTTTTAATAGTCTGTTTTTATCTTATTCTACATCATGTAAATACTTTACTTATTTCTGCATTTACTTGCACATTGGTCACTTGTAACATTCTCTTGCACTATTCTTTTCCTGTCTTTTTCTTGCACTATTTCCATTGTTAATGTTAATGTGTGTTTACTTTGCATTGTTGGAAGAGCCCGGGCCTTTCCATTGCCAACACTACACTGTAACTCTTGTGCATATGAGAATAAAGCCTTTGATATAGATAATGTGAATGTACAGTTGTCCCCCAGCATGTTCCTGTGTCAGCTACCTCTGCCTGCCCCAGTATTAGCTCAGCCCAGCTCTTCCACTGAGGACACTTGTCCCGCTCAGCGAAGGTGGTCTCATTGGACGTCCAGCAGCACTGCTCGCGGTTTAACCACATGGCGCTCAGACACACGCCCTCCTTCAGGTCGTTCATCCAATCAGCAGCAATGTCAATCAGGCCAGCCAAAGCACCTGGCAGGAGGAGGGAACCAGGAAGAATAGGAGGTGGAGGCAGGGAGGAGAGAGGAAGAGGGGGAAAGAGGCAGAGGCACTTAGCTTGCTACTTCATAGCATGTTGAGAAACAGTGAAGTGGACGCAAGTCGATAAAAGTCGCCGTATAGAAAGAAATTACAAAAATATCTAAATACATTATTTTAATAAATATTCTGTTGTAAAGTTTTAAAACAATGTTCACATGTTCCAGGTCAGACCACAGTGTCACAGGCTCATTCAAGTCATACACATGTACCCCAGACCTTTCATGTTTCAAATCCAAATATTGAGGGTAAACTTTAACTAGGGCTGAGCGATTATGACAAAAATCATAATCACGATTATTTTGGTCAATAATTGATATCACGATTATTAAAAACGATATTAATTTACTTTGAAAACATCCATTTATTTAAAAAATAATGTGGACAGTATGTTTTTAACAGTTGATTACCCTGAACTTTGAGTATAATTCAACTGAAAAACAAAAAAATAATAATAATCGTTTTATTTCTATTACGTTGTTTTCGTAATCATTGCAAGCCAAAATCGTAATCGAGATTAAAATACGATTAATTAATAAACTGTGGCATATTTTGCACTTTTCCCTTCATTTTTAACCTGGATCTTAAAGAGTTTNGAGGAGACCGATCTGATCCGAGTAACTGTGACAAATAATCCAACTGAAACCGGCATGGACAAAATTGCGTTTATCCAGACAAGCCTGGTTTGGACACTTTACGCAAAGTGTCCAAACCAGGCTTGTCTGGATAAACGCAATTTTGTCCATGCCGGTTTCAGTTGGATTATTTGTCACAGTTACTCGGATCAGATCGGTCTCCTCCATTTTGTAGATTATTTACAACTTTTGAATCCACATAAACACATCGGCAAAATACAGCTTAATTTGAGAATGTGTTTTAAACAGTTTAATCCCTTTGTGAATTGTTTCCACTTGCGTCGTCCTTTAATTTCTTCATACAGTGGGAATCCAAATGAATGAATCCTGAGTCCAATAACCATCAAAGTCACTCCTATAGTGCTCCTTAATTACACTTTCATCCTCCTTTAACAAAATACTTCACATTCATCCAGTTTGTGACAATATTTGTAGCATTTTTGAGACTTTGAAACTTTAATTACCGCTGTTGCCCCCCCTTGTGTGTGTGTGTGTGTGGGGGGGGGCGCAACTTCCAACTGGAGTCATTTGGCGGGGGGTTTGGGAAAAAAGGTTGGGAACCCCTGGTTTAGACGACGAACTGGTGAGTACTGGATGAGGGAACCGGGTTTATGCAGGTGTAGGTGAGCAGTTACAATCAGGGTGACGAGCAGCAGTTGAGGAGGTGTGGAAGCGGGAATCCAAAAGTAGTTCAGCCACGCCCAGGCAGGAAGACAGACAAAAACAAACACAGAGGGAAAAAAGAGGGAGGCAGAACTGTGGATCCTCACAGCCATAGTTTAGTTTCTGATTGGGTAAGTGAATTAAAGGCCATGTGCCTCCCTTCCTCTTTCACTCTTCCTTGGTTGCAGTGAGACTCACACATCAGGAAAAACCTGACAGACTACTGCTTCGGGTAAGAGCTTATACGTGTTTATATGTAAAGATAAGAACACCTTCTTACGTTTGTTCTGAGTTAACTTCAATTGTGTGAAGGAGCCTTGAATTGTAGTGTCTAGAAATGCTTATTCACATAAGATTCTTGTATTGTGAAATATGTGGGTTTCTTGTTGTGCCTCAACTGCACTGATTATGAATGTGTAGATAAGTATTAAGAGGCTACATATTCGAAAAAACAACAAACCTAATATACCAATGTCTGAATACCAATGCTGCTGTTGCGTTTTAGGATATGCATAAATATGACTTCCCTACAAAACTAACTTTCAGAATTACATGTAAGTGCTAATCTGTTCACAGTCAAAGATCATTCGTGTATTTTGGTTTCCATGGTGAAATATATTTTTCTTTTTAATAAGCAGCCTCTTTATCCTGTCTTGACATTCACTTAATTTATTAAAAGCACTCTTTGTCTTGCACCAGACTTCTGAACCTTCACGGAAGCTGGGTGGTCACATGTCTTACATTTTTGTAGTTTAGTGTGTTCATAAACATGTTCAGAGCCCGAATTTATCAATTTAAACGTGCAACAAACTATATTTTAAGCATCGTCACCAACACAAATAATGGTTTTAAATGGTGTTTATTAGAGAGCATCAGAAGGAGCTTGTGGACAAACAGCATGTGATCACATTTGCTGACACCGAATGAATGCAATCGTGTCTAGACACAATTACTTTAATGCTACAAAAAAAAGTGCATTTACAATCTCTAATTTCTCTCTATACTGAATCAAACCTAGACCAAAATGGTGGACTGGGTCTTAAATCTCTTCCTGATTTAATTAAAGTCCTGCTGACTGATCAGGGGTCATGTGGTGTCGTCTGCGGCACTGAAACTCTTTCACAGGCCTCCACTGAAGCAGGAGACAGGGAATAGTTTAATTTGTACACCACTGATTATATGTAGCGGCGTTTCTTTTCTAATTAAGATTTTGTGTTTAAAAGCATTATAGAAAGCAATATATTATTAACCAGTGGTTTCAAAACGTGAAGTATTGGGACTACTTACAAAATAATGGTCTAGTTGGGCTCAAATTTCAGTGAAAGAAACGACCCATTTCAGAATTACTTTCACTTTTATTTTGTAGAACTACTTTATTTGTACCTTTTATTTTGTTTTCATTCACTTGTAACAAAGTATGTTTACTTAAATGTACCGGTATATATATTGAAGTAAATAATCTGAGTACTTCATCCATCAAATTTGACTTGACTTGACCAGTGGAGAATGTTGACAATAAACAAAACAGAAGTGAATGTGCCTAAAGGGGAAGCCACTGATGTCTAAAGTTATGATGGTTATGGATTATATAACAATAAATAAGAAACGAGTATCAAATAGACAAAGCATTAATCTAGAAGAGGAAGGAATTGGTTGATTCCCAAACATAATTTGTGGAACAAATAAACATGTCAACATATCTTGAGAACAAAGTGCTGATGATCCTGTCCTTTTTCCTCCCAACAGTCAAGATGTTTCTGTGCTGGTGCCTATCTCTGGTGGCTTTAATCCCTTTGACCTCAAGCACCAACCCTGGAGTAAAGGTCAAGCTAACAGCTAAAGGCATTGAATATGGTAAGGTTTGTACTTTTAGTTTTAAATCGCTGATTTCTCCCGAGATGTTATCATCAATTTCCCTTGATTTCCCTAGGCAGAAAACTGGCAGTGGCTTCGATCTTGCAGAAACTCAAAACCATCAAACTTGATGATATGTCAGGTCAAGTGAAGGTGTCTCCCATCGGCAAGGTCAAGTACATCCTGACAAAGTAAGAAAACAGTGCATTCATCACCGTCAATTCTTAAATTGGATACTTAAAAACGATTTGTGGGGTTTCCCCTTTTCTGTAATGTGTTGTGTTTGTGTGCATGTAAATGGTCTGCAAAGGCTAAAATCCGAAAAGTTTGAGTGAGTTTTCTCGCACACACTTCCCCCCCCTGTCTGAACTGGACTCCTTTGTGTACTTCTGTAACATAGTGACTGTTGGGGAATAATTTGCTACGGTATTCAAACTTTGACACAGTTCATAATTTTCTCTTCTCACTGTCTCCTTTCCCATGGCATAGGTCTACGGCATTGGGTATTGCTGCTACCTCTCTTAAGGAGGAGCAGCTTGGGCGCATTGTTGTTGAGACAGAGCAAACGCTGCCATGAGGTAGTTTACTGTTCAGGGACGAAGGTTCCCTGGCGCCCATTATTTTCGATGGACGACAGCTCTAGTAAGATTCAGGGTCCATATTGCTTTAGTCTCACTGATAAAGAATGTTGATTATTACACTCGGAACTAGTTAAAACCTCGAGCCGAGAAGAGTTCTTCAGAATTGATGTGGCATCTCAACCGTGTGGTCAAACCGTGACCCGTGACATGTCTTGTCAGTTCTCCGGCCGTAACTCCAAATAAACCATCAGTGTTTGCCATCAAAGCTCCAGCTCTCCACGTGTCTCTTTGAGTCCTGACTCCTCCATTGCTTCAGAAGTTTCCCCCACAGTGACATCACTCTGTAACACTCGCGCTTCTTCTATTAGCTAGACTCCAACACAATGTAATATTGGCTAAGGGGCGGGACATCTCAGTTGACCAATCACAACAGAGCCGGCCAGCTAACCAATCAGAGCAGACTGGGCTCTGGTTTCAGACAGAGGGTGAAAAGAGGTGCTGCAGCACAGGCTGTATGAGAAAAATAAAGAGCTTTTTGAACATTAAAGCATGTAAACGTGTCAAAGTAGAGAGCACAAAATACAAATATGGAACTGAAAATGAACTTTCATGTTGTCTTTATCAGTATGAAAATGGTGGAAGTGGGATTGCCAACGGCTACGCTGAATCTGGTGCCAGGGACCGGTGTCAAACTGTCTATTGTCAACGCTGACTTCCGTTTGGAAGGAAACTGGCGGGTCAAGTACCTCTTTAT